TGGTTCCGCGGGAAAGAAGGAATAAAATTCGAAAGAATTGTTCCCCAGCTTTATTTTGCGTATTTCTTGTATAGGCATGCCTTCACGACGTTGTCGAAGTGAGTCGATGACGTCACAAGTAAAACCGCTGTAGTTATTTTCGCGGGCTCTCTAGTGTGTTATTCGAGCAATGGCGGGAGAATTTTTAATGTCTTCGCGGCGCTGTTTTTAAGGAATAACGTTGTCAAATTTGAGAAACTTACGCTTATTCTTATAGTTTAGGGTCTAAATGTGAAGTTCACACCAGAAAATTGGGAAAATAAACTGCGAAAATTTCGTCGCAGTAGCACTTTAAGGTTTACGACGATAACGTCCAACAAATCTGCAAATTTTTCGATCTCTGCCGCGTTTCCAGGGCGGATGGGTTCGATGTTTTCCAGTTCTTCGAGATGTAAGCCTATTTTTCTTCGCTCTCCGCCAAATTTGCGTTCCAGTCGAGCCAGCGCTGCTTCGTAAGCCGCAGCAGAATGTCCCAGAGGTTCCACGTTCTTTTTTGCTTCTCTAGATAAATGTAGCCGTAATACATGCATCAGGAGTTCCAGACTTCCTGTTGGATCGCACGGCATTGTGGGCACGCGGGCTCAAAAAAGTGGGCATCAACTTGCAGCTTCGCCATATTCGAATACATAGAGTGACTTGGATTCATTGACTTTTTACGCAGGAAAGCCCTTCTTCTGAGCCGAATTATACATGAGGGAATATAGGAAAACCAAATCAAAGGTATTTTAAAGGTGAGCTGATTTTTCATTCCTTTTTGGCAGCGTCATTCTAACGATTTTAGTCTTAGAGTGTAGTCGATTTGAGAAGCTACGAGTATGATTTTTGCTTCTTTTCTTACTTACGTTGTACAGATACTTTGTCGATGGGATTCGGCCACCGAAACTGTGTAGTTATAGGCTGTCCTAACAGTGGACAAAGGCTAGGAAAATGGGCTGCTACGACCTGTGTACTTCATGGTTGGAAAAATGGCTCAAGCATGTGTCACTGCCAGCCACCCTTCAAATTATTCCCATTCACGACAGAAAAGAAGAAACCGGAACGCCGATTACAATGGGAAAAAAATATCAATAGGAACAGTTTGAATGGGACTCTTTGGATGACTAACAAGGATTCGTTTAATCAAACATTTCGTTTAATCAAACATGAACTGCCTCTCTCTTATCGGTAATCTCGGTAATATTATCATTGTCTGTGTTGCATTATTCAATTTGTACAAGCCTCTTAGTAAGTAACATGTTTCTTTTTGTCTTTTTGTTTTTTTTCAAGCCATAAAGTAAAATGTGTAATGCACGAAAAAAGCCATACTCCCACCATGGAGAGCATTGGAAATTCCAATTAGGGAGGGGTTTTGCTGCAAGTTTTTTAAGGAACTGAGAACAGTATAATTAATGTTAGAAGCAACTTTTTGTAATTAACATCTTTAAGAACATTTTCTACTTTTGAAATTGGATATCAAGGATCAAACAAAGCTATGGCTATACAATAATACATGCACTTGTTCAATAATTATAATGTACAGGCTATATGGAGATATGACTTGCTGTTTACAAAATTTTCTCAGTCTGATGAATTTTCTAGGTTTTTTTTACATAAAATATTTTTGAAGTAGTTTCAGCGCTGGTGAAAGACAAATAATGTAAGATAATTATTATAAAACCAGGCTAAATTTTCTTCAAGCCTACACTAGTATGTGGCATTAAAGGTGATTGTTTCCATGTGATAGCCCTTGTGTGCGTATACAAAGAAATAGCACAATGGCCTCTTTGTTATGGCCATCTCACCCTGGACCTGTGATGCTGCTGCTTTAAAGCTACTTGCCCATTACACCTATATAAGTATGACAGATTATGTGGTGAGAGAGTTTCATTGGCAATGCTAAATGGGTTCTACTGCTTCCCCACAACAAGAGCACTCTATTAGTAAGTCTGGAGATGCTCCCAGGTACTGTTTAGTTTTTTCAATGAAGATACCACATTCTCTGTATAAGACATCCTTGGATGTGCAAGCTGGGTTGGTCATTCCACTCCTATTAGCAGCCTCAACTCTAAACAGCCATGCTGCTCTCTCTGAAATTATAAAAAAGGGGATGAAAATCATCATGAAGCATCTGGAAACCTCGGCACTGTTGGGGGCTCAAGAAACAATGCCCTGGTCCTAGTTTACTGCAGTACATGCATCAGGAGTTCCAGACTTCCTGTTCAACTTGCAGTTCGCCATTTTGGTATACATAGAGTAAATTGACTTCCGTGACTTTTCATGTCAACGAAGTGTAGATTACAAACTCTTGAATCCTTATTAGGCATCCAAAGAGTCCCATTCAAACTGTTCCTATTTATATTTTTTGCCCATTGTAATCGGCGTTCCGGTTTCTTCTTTTCTGTCGTGAATGGGAATAATTTGAAGGGTGGCTGGCAGTCACACATGCTTGAGCCATTTTTCCAACCATGAAGCACACAGGTCGTAGCAGCCCATTTTCCTAGCCTTTGTCCACTGTTAGGACAGCCTATAACTACACAGTTTCGGTGGCCAAATCCCATCGACAAAGTATCTGTATTAGAACAAAAGAAGTACAACGTAAGTAAGAAAAGAAGCAAACATCATACTCGTAGCTTCTCAAATCGACTACACTCTAAGACTAAAATCGTTAGAA